GGCGCGTGGTGCCGGAGCCTCGTCGCCCACGTGTCGAGCCAAGTCTTGGCGCCTGGCATCTGCCAGTGCCAGCCAAACCGACCGAGCGAGTCCTGTCAGCCCTGCGTGGCGTGGGAAGGGGAAGGCAGCAATGCTGCCGGGCGAGCTGGGCCGGGAGTGCTGGGCTTTGCTGGCAGCACCCAGCACCAGAGGCTTGGTGTGGCTGGTGGGGGTCACGCTGGCCTCTTCCAGGCTCTAGCTCCTTTGGTCCCTGGCTATGGAAGGAGCTGAGGGGCAAAGGGTGACTCTGCCCACCCTGCTTTCGCCAGGGAGGCCCCATCCTTAAAGCCTGCACAGCTGGGTTGGGAGCCTTATTTCTGTCTGTGGCACTCCTTACAGCTGCCCCACACACAGAAGAGGGGTGGAGGGAATGTGGTAGTGGTGAGGATGCCGCTTGCCCTGCCCAATGGTGCAGGTGTGGGCAGGGAGCCTGAGGACACAGGGATGGGGCTGGCAGTGGTGCTGGGCGCTGCAGGGCAGTGATGGGGTGGGGTGAGCAGGGTGGAGGGAATAGGGAGGACCTGGGATGCTGTAGGATGCTGGAGGAGCCATGCTACGCCCAGCAGGGGTTGTGCCATCAGCCTGGGATGGGCTCTCCCTGAGCCCAGAAGCTATGCAAGCAGGAGGTATGAGGAAACCCATCCTCTCTTCTCCCCACAGGGTGGTGGCGGCTGTGATGGGGATGCACAGTGGTGGGTGTTTGGGGCATCCTCTCCTTGCTCATGAGGGGTTCATCCTGATCTCTGCTGCCCCGTGGCCCCTGCCTGCAGGCCAGTAGGTCTGGCTGGCTGCGTGTCGCTGGAGGGGTGGCCATGGAACACGCAGGAGGCGGGTCACATATTCACATGAACTCGACAAGCTGGTAGTGGCATGGCAGGAGTGCGCAGGCTAAGTTATTGCCTCCCACTTCCACTCTGCCATGTGGAGGGGGTTTTATAAAGCACTAATTTTCCCTCAGACTCTTTAGTGAAGAATAGCTGCTGCCCATCCCCTGGATATTGGGTGCTGGATGGTTCCCCATCTCAGTGTACACGCCAGGACAACTGCTTCCCAAAGTGATGCCAACTATGGGATGGAAAGGGAGCCCCAGAGAACCCAATATGCCAGCTTCCTTCTGTTGTGATGAGGACAGCGGCCAAGGTGTGAGCGAGATGGGGGGGCACCAGGGACTCTGCCTACATTCAGCCCCCCTGTGTTTTGCCTGGGGAGGTTGTCCCTGAGGTGTGTGGGGGTGTGGGGCAGGCCAGGGGCTGGCACTAGCATAGCAGCCTCAAAGAGCATCTACTAAAAAGGAGAAGAGCGGGGAGCTGACGGCAGCGCTGAGGAATGCCTGTGCCTCCACACGCAGCTCACTGTGCACCGCGTGGTGGCGGGG